AACGGGAGAACTGAAAGAAGAGGACAGACCACTCACCACTCTCTTCCTTCCTTCCTCACTTCCACTTCAGTCCTTCTCTCACCTCTCTCTTTCTCTCTCTAGAATCTGATCCACCGAAGTGAGATGTCAGAGAGCTGCAACTCCCGCCACTTCTCATGGCTCATGAAATCCTGCTTCCCCAACCCCAGCGACAACAACATCTCCTCCTCCGCCGCCAAACCGACGCCGTTCAACAACTCCGACGCTCCTTACAACTGCTCCGCGGCCGCCATATCCGCGATCTCCTCCTTCCCCGATGACCTCCTCCTGGAGTGCCTCTCCCGAGTTCCCTCCTCCTCTCTCCTCAGCCTCTCCCTCGTCTGCCGCCGATGGTCCCGCCTCATCCTCTCCTCTTCATTCTCTCTCCTCCGCCGCCACCGCGGCCTCCTCCGCAACACTCTCTTCGCCGTCTCCTCCTCCGATTCCGCCCTCTTCGCCGCCACTCTCCGCCTCCACGATTTGGATTCCTCCGATTCCTCCTCCTCCTCTCTCTGGAGAGTCGCCGCTTTCCTCCCTCAAGACGACGACGTTTGGCGATCCTTCCCCTCGCACGCCCGGATTTCCTCGATCGGACCGAGAATCTTTATAATCGGACGAAATGCGACTCTCCGGTACGATACCTGGACCGGAACCGTCACGGAAAAATCGCCGATGCTCTTCTCGAGGAAGAAATTCGCCGTCGCCGCCGTTTCTGGAAAGATCTACGTCGCCGGAGGAGGTCCGAGAACCACCGCGGTTGAGGAGTACGATCCGGAGGAGGATAACTGGCGCGTGGTCGCCACCGCCTCTAGAAGCCGCTACGGCTGCATCGGCGCCTCCGCCGACGGAGTCTTCTACGTCATCGGAGGCCTGAAACTCGGCGCGTCGGGGAACGATTTCTCTCGCGCCGCCGCCGCCGGAGCGGAAGCTCACGTGTACGCGAGTTCGATGGACTTGTACGATGTCGAGTCGCGCGCGTGGCTTCGGAGCCGAGCCGTACCCGGCGGGGGCTGCGTGGTGGCGGGTTTTTTGTTCCGGCG